ACCTTTCCAAGGTCGCAAAAACAATTTTTTCATAAGACAAGTTTGATGTAAAATTTTCCGCTCTTTCGAAATCCGCAGTCAAAAATAGGGTGTCCCATTAGAAAAAACCATCGTGACCTTGAAGTAACCTTCAAAATTGACCTCAAGGTCAAAACCAATGGTACAATTGAATGACCCCCTCTGTCCTGGTCAACTTTTATCTAAACCATTTTTTTGTAGATACCGTAATTTGGAAGATATTCGGATCCATAGACTAAAATGACTCACCCTGTACATTATATATATTATCTGTAATATTTATTCTACTCCCTCCATTTGACTCAACATCACAACACTGTGCATTTCCTCCTACGCCTAAGCGAAACCTCGACGTGCGGTGTTCCTCTCTAGTGCCCATCGGTCAACGACGAATGATTCGAATATTTGAACGCGTGGCGCCGCGCAATATCCAGAACGAGGTTCCCCAGAGTCGGCAGCATCTAGAGATCCAGGAGGTGCCGATCCACGTAAGTCACGAGAGCGCCACCTAGAGGTATAGAGAGCAACTGCGCTGTGGACGACCGCTGGTAAGTCATTATTCACTACAATATTTCTATACGCGCGACACTACAATTAACGCCTGCGACTGTCCGATCCACCGTAAGGCTTATACTATGCGTCTTGCGCAAAATCCATCGCGACTACTTTTGATCGCACGGATCCCCGGGTAGAATCACGCGATTTGTTTGGCCTGAAAAATTGCAATCTGATCCCGTGCTAGGGTTTGAGCGCTATTCTTCACGGCAGCGTGGCCGCAACACGCCGGGACGTAACATCAACAAAACCTATTGTAATGATTGAATGCGTCACCGTTGATATGCATTGTCAATATTAAGATTATCTAATAGAAAATTAGTACTTAATACGCCTATCAAGTGCACGATGTAAACCAAGCCATTGACGAGAATAAGTTAGGCCTGAAACACAATACATTGTATGTCGCTGTCGCATGTCGGAACGCAGCCTCAGAACGATGGTTCACTGAGGAGAACTTATTCTCGAAAAATAAATTCTCTCATTGGACTCAGCTGCGTTCCGATATCTAACTCCGACATACAGCGTATTGTGTTCCAGGCCTTACGAGAGTTAGGCTCGATCTACAATAGATGGAGCAAGGAGTAGAAGTAGGCGTAAGAAATAAGCAGTAAGCAAATTGGCCAATTCCATTCTCACGATGCAAGAATAGTCGATTGTAATTGGTCCATTTATTTACTGCTTATTTCTTACTCCTACTCCTTACTCCATCTATTGTAGATAGGTTCTTACGATTCTGCTTAGAATTGCAGAATAAGTCATACTGTCGTCAGTCGTATAAATTGATCAATCACGGTCGATTATTCTTCTTGTACCCGATTATGATTTTTACGACTTACGACTTTACGACACAGATGTCTATACTAAACGGGAGCGTCCCAGATGCACACATTGACAAACGAACACAGCCAACCACAACGGGTATATATCAGTTGGATACGGGGCAATTGGACACAGTCCAATCACAAGTCGCTGTTCCAAGGGACCCTACAAATGTCTCTAATCACACGGTGCTGTGATTGGCTGTGTCCAAATGCACCGTGTCCAAGTGCACCGCTCCCACCACAACACCGTATGCTTAGAGATATTCTAAAGACTCTATAAACAACGATATGGTATGGTTGGATGTGTCTGTTTGTCAATGTGCGCATCTGGGACTCACTCTACTAAACTAGCTTGCTAACAGGCTATCTATGACCGGTATTCATAATCCGATCTTATATTTAAGATTATCTTAAGTACTGTTTTAAGATGTCATTAACCAAAAGACGTATTCGCATCTTAAGACATTGCTTAAGACCATATATAATAAACTAATAGTGAGAAATTAACGGCACATAAGGAGCAAGCACAGATGTCTTAGTGCTATTAAATACTAATATTACTTTATTTAATATTAATATGATTGTGGGAGGATAAAATTGTCCAGTATGTTAAACGCACGTATCGAAATTTTTCTTCGATTATCGTACGAGGAGAATCACCTTCCATACTTAGACCGATCCTTGAGTCCCAATTTTTAAATATATATTTTTATTAAAATCCCAAACCCCTATTAAACAAATGACTCAAATAGATTCCTTATATTATGTTGCGAAAAAACTGCCCCCGCCAGGACTCGAACCTGGAACCTCCCCACTTTCCGGGCGGGACGCCTTTCTATTCGGCTACCGAGGCTTCGACAGTAATCTCGCAACACAATGTTTATAAATTCTCAATATTTTTACTAAGAATAGAGCGCTGGATTCAATATCCGCCACGGAGTAGGAGTTACCCTCCGGCTAGAGATCTTAGTTGTGAAGATGCGGCTTTACTCTTGAAACCAACAAAGCTCTGATCAGAGCGGACGCCTGATAGAACCTAACAGCTAGTGAGTGCGCTAGATATCCGGGCTGCGCAGCGACAAGCATGCCCTCTCTGGTCTCCAAATAAATGCGGACCAACCTTTCTTGAAAGTGACACTGCGGGGAGTAACCCACGCGTCGACCTCTCTCGACGTACAATTCAGCCTTGCTGCGCAACGGGTGTATCGAGCTCGACAGTGCCTTGCTGAAGTATTTAGATAACAAGTATCGTCGGCGTGCATGTAGAGTAGTCTCGCCGGCAAGGTGGAGGACCACGTTACCGGGAATGGATGACATTAAACCGAGGACAACTTTCAGGGCAGCATATTGTAGTTTGTCAAATATAGGCGTATATGATCGTCGTACATCCTGAAATATAATGGATCCGTAATCGAGGAACGATCGAACAAGGGCCTTATAGGCCACAAGCAGGTTCCGAGGATGAGCGCCCCAGACGACCCCGGCGACGGCCTTGAGAATGTTGTTTCTTGCCTGTATTCTTTTCCTGTTCTGCATAAAATGCTCCCTCCAATTAAGATTGGCGTCAAATATGACCCCTAGAAATTTAAAAGATGAAACGAGGGCGACCGGCTCGCCGGCAATGCTCAAAGTGAGTCGATCCCTGGCAATAGTCTTCGCGATAAAGTATATGCGTGTCTTTCCAAAGATACACACCTTGGTTTTGTGGGCGGCGATAGTTAGAACCAAATGAGCGAGATTGTCAGACAGGACGTCCAATCCTGCGGACAGAGATCGGAACAAGTGAGGCAATACCATATTCTTGGAGTAGAGTACGACATCGTCGGCGTATGCCAAAATTTGCACATTCTCACCCAAGTTTCCATGAATACCAGATATGTAAAAATTGAAGAGCAGAGGGCTGAGAATAGATCCCTGAGGAACGCCCCTGGAGGCCACCCTCAAGCCCAGGTTTCGGCCGCCAACATATCCAACGACCCTTCTACCGGTGATCATATGCTCAAGGTGATTATTTTGCCGGGCACACCAGCCTGTCTGAGTATGAAGATCAGGACGTCAGACAAGACATTGTCAAATGTTCCCCTGACGTCAATAAACACCGCTCCAAGGTCCCGGCTCGTGTGTATAGCCTCTTGCATCTCATTGTACAATATAGCGTCGTTGCAGCGTCGTTGTACAATATAGCGTGTTCTTTTTTTTCTAAAACCATACTGATAATTGGGAATGACTTTGGGGTTTTCCAAAAACCACTCAAATCTATTGTATATCATTTTTTCAAGGATTTTCGCTATACAGCTAGTTAGCAAAATAGGCCTGTAATCAGTCAAGCTGGGTTTGGGAATAAACACCATGAAAGAGTCTTTCCATGTTGGCGGATATATACCTTCATTGTACATCCAATTAAATATTTGAAGAAGTTGCCTTTTTGCCGAATCCGGTAAGTTTACAATGATTTTGTTACACATGAGATCCGGTCCCGCCGTCCCAGTTAACTTGACGGAACCAATAGCAAGGAATAACTCGTGTTGGGAGAAAGGTCGAAGAAGGTCCTGCGCAGATAAAAGATCTCGGGTGAGGTAGGAGCAATCAGGAGGAAGGTGAGAAGCGGGCTGAACGGAGAGAGGGATGACGTACCTCTCATGCGGGAACGGAGTCTCGGGCTGTGCCGCAGATCCTCCGCCAGTTGGCGGTACCGCCTTATTGAAAGCGACGCCGGCCGCTACCACAGCCTCCTCGGATTCCTCGCGAGGACAACGCACCTTGCCGGTAAAGACTCTGAGCGTATTCCACATCTGCGAATTGCAGGTTTGTAGGTTCATACTTGCGTAGAATTTTTTAAAACTCTGCAACTTGATCTGCTTCATGCGCTTTCGCGAGTTCCTGACCGATGAGTTGTACATTTGAAGATTGTGTATGTTCGGCCTGCTTACAAATTGTTTAAAACATTCTCTCCTATCCCTCATTAGATCGGAGCATTCCTGATTCCACCATATAGTGGGCGCACGTGTGGTAGGATAACTGTGTCTGCGAATCTAGCCACCGGACGATCCGATGCATGCGAGTAGCCTGTCAACAAAGCTGCTGTACGCATCATTTACGCCTTTGAATGAGGTTTCAGGGTGCTCTTCCATGGAAAGACGAAATCTTCTCCAATCCACCTTTCCCAGCACGATGCGAGGGCGGCATGTGGGTCTCCGAGGGTGAACTCCACACAGGCTGACAATAATAGGAGTATAGTCCTACCCAGGAAAGTCGGTGATCGGGCAGCAGGAAGTGCAGTCAACAAGATCTGGTGAAATAAAAGTCAGATCAATGATACTGGCTTTGGATCTGTCGGCAGAGTACCAGGTGTAAAAGTCCCGAGCAAGACAGACCAAGTCCGACATGATCGAGGCATCGGCAATAGCCCTGCCCTCAGTGTCCTCATCACAGGAGTCAAGGGTGTCCCACATGGAGTGGTGCGCGTTAAAGTCGCCGCAAAGGACGACATTGCTTAGACGATTGATAGCGAGAAAAAACTTTCTCCAATGATCTTTCACTTTACGACCACAAGAGCCTCGCGGTGCATTGTAAACAGTAATTATATGCATGCAGGAGTCTTGCTTAAAGGAAACGCAAATCGCGCATACGTCGACGAAAATCGTCTCCAGCTCCGAAAAGATCGGCAGAGAAAAAGGTTGATAGGCGATGCCTTTACGGACCAGAATGACCACACCACCACGTCTTCTAGACCGGGAGCGGTGCACTTGGACACGGTGCATTTGGACACAGCCAATCACAGCACCGTGTGATTAGAGACATTTGTAGGGTCCCTTGGAACAGCGACTTGTGATTGGACTGTGTCCAATTGCCCCGTGTCCAACTGATATACACTCTTCTAGACCTGGGGCATTGAATCATACAGTAATTACCCAGTAGCGATTTTGTTTTGTTCCACGGACAATTTTGTTTCGGACAGGCATATGATCTCAGCGGGCTGAGCGGGCGTCACAGAATAAAAAGAGATAGCATGCTTTGGATCACCATTCTCTTTTTCAAATGACACGTGGTGGGGCACTCCAGCATCTCCTTATGTTTAGAGTGGGGGTTTACATTGGTTCTCCTACATAGTATGTTTCCCTCGAAGCATTTTTATTACATGCATATAAAATACTTTATACACATATAAAACATTTTATTATCACAATATATCGATAATTATTCTGTTATATTATTTTTCTCTTCCATGCCTTTCAATTCCCCTTTATTCCTTTCCCACATTCTTTTTATCCCCACTATGCGTCGTTAGAGAAAGACAGAATGGTGACCAAAGTATGCTATCTTTTTCTATTCTGTGACACGTTTAGCTATAGGAAACATTGAGAACACGCAGTCTGGGAGTTGGGTTTCGGCCGCCGTCTGGTATGCATCGCGTGTAGTTGCTTCTCACCTTTTTCGTTTGGGAGATCTACCTTTTGCGTTTTTCCTTCGGGCTTTTTATTCTGAATACTGGCTTTCGACCTGGCTTTGTCTCTGGACTTGTCTGATTTCTTATTTTTTTGTGGTGATTGGGTTAATCTATTTCTTTCACCTACACGTTTATGCGCTTTCTTTATCTACCTGGTGCTTACGTGACTCGGTTTTCGATCTAAACTCGGTTTGTGCTTCTTATACTTCGTATCATCTATTTTTCATCGTGCTCATATACTGTGCACGTATATATCACGTGTTCTGGTTGTTTGTATTATCGCCCACTTCTCACCTCTCATGATGGACTCAGACGATCTCTTGTCCCAACAAGGACAGAGCAACACGAAGACTGATCCCGGAAAGGATATACATAAAGCGGTTGTCGACCAAGTTTTGAATTACGACGTAATGGATATTCAATCTTTATCATCCTATGAGGAGCTATCCGATGATTCGGGAAGTATACAACCAACTACTTCTATCTCTGGTATTCCGAAGAATCCATCTGTTGCTAATCAAATGTGATCCTTCTTTGATCAAGACCGAAAGACTTAGGTCGGTATTCATAGTCAGATCTTACGAGTATATTTAAGATCAACTTAAGTACTGTCTTAAGATGTCATGAACCAATCACAGAGTCGTATTCGCATCTTAAGACATTACTTAAGACGATCTTGAAATAAGATTCGACTATAAATACCGGCCTTAGTGTAGTATTTAGTAAAAGTTACTAGCAATAGTTACTAGTCGACGATTGCGATTGCGACGAATGGATTAATAGTTTTAATTTGTGAACGCGCCGTATTATAAGCGGATCGAATGTAGAGCAAAGACGACGCTCATAAGTAGATACTTTTTGTTTAATATCACGATTATGATATAATAAACGTACTCGTTTAACATGTTTTGTGTGTGGGGGTGAGCTTGATTGTCTTTTAAGAATATAAGCACAAGTCTACCGATAATATATTACACTTAGGAAAAAGTTAAGCATACCTAATATCAATCCTTACAGTGGAACTATCAAGAAAGCTTCTTCTGGCCCACGCATCACGTCTGATATCAGAGTTAACTCTTCGATCTCTAAGAGAAAGCTGGCTAATATTAAAAAGCCTCGTTCTAGTGATAATTTAATCTCATTGTTTCTCCCTTACCTTCCCCTAATATTTCTCATTCCTTTATTCCCAACCCTATTTTATCCTCCTCAGTTAAGGATGGTCTGAAGACTTCTTCTGATCCCGTTCTTGACCCTCCTCTTGCCCCATTCTCCCTCCCAACGCTTCTATTGCTCCTCCGATTTTTTCCTTGAATGATAATTCCCCTGTCAATACTTCGAGTGTATCATTTCCCAGCGCTGTGAATAACCGCCGTGTCTGCGATTGTCGCCTGTGCCTCCCCCGCCGCTCGGGTTATGCCGGGTGCAGTATCGGCTCTGGCTAGCTCTCGTACTAGTCCGATCCAGTCTGTGAAAGCTTTCAATAAGAAATTATTCTCACAGCTAAGTATATCTAATAATAAATTGTCTAAGTCATTTCTTAATTTTCTTTCCACTTATTTTGCTCATTCTTCCTCTGCTTCTGAATCAGATCTCTCATTCCACTTTGATAAATCTCATATTTCTGATTTCAAGGCTTGATTTCTGACTTATCCAATCTTTGTTCTTCTTTATTTTTTGAAGATAACTAATAAAATGGCGCCTTCCGTTATTAACTGTAATTTTACTGTGCATTTTTCTCATGGTTTCAATATTATCCGGTGGAATATTAGATCCTTCTCTGCTAGATCTGTAGATTTGGTTGATTTAGTTAACGATTTTCACCCTGAGATTATCTGTCTATCTGATACTTGTGTTTCTCAAAATTCGGATTGTTTTCCTAACTCTCCTGTACGTGATTATCTCTTCCTTAATTCGAGACTCTTGTCTGCGGGGGGTGGCACCGGTTTTCTTATCAATAGACACATCACCTTTGCTATTCAAAATTTTCCGTTTCTTGAATCCATCTATAGAGATTATGACGTTGATTTTATGTGTTTGAAAATTTTTCTTTCAAATAATTTCACTTTTCTTCTGGTTTCCATTTATAATCCTCCCGGTCGTATCTCTCGTAATTCTGATTCTATTTTTTGGGTTAATTTCTTTAATGGCTTTTCTGATTTTGATAATGTTATAATCTGTGGGGATTTTAACGCTCACATTCCTTTCTGGTCGTCTATTCCGTCTAAATACAACGATGAAGGTCGTAGATTAGAGTTTGCTGTATCTCAATCTCTTGTTTATATTGGTAACCGCAACCCTACTTGGATTTCATTAGACAGCTCTACTAGAAGTGTTATTGATTTTTTATTTGTTTCTGATTCCATTGCTTTGTTAGCTTCTTATTCAGTTTTGGATCAAACTTATAATAGCGATCATTTTCCGTCTTTTATCACTTTATTCTATTAATCCCGTTTTACGTAGGCCATCTCTTAAATAAAATAAAATTGTGTGGTTTGATGTCGTTAAAGCTCTCGATCATCTCCCTCCAAGCTTTTTTATTTTTGACAAAGATCCTGCTGATTGCTATTGTAGGTTTATGAGTTGCCTCACAGATAACTTGATCTCTTGTGGTGCTTCTTTCTGTAACAAAAAAAGTAAAAGTTTTCTTAACCTTTCGGCTATCTGGTGGACGGAATGTAGTAATTTGACTTTCGAGCGCAAAAATGCTTTTAAACTTTTTACCTCTAATCCCTCTTTAGCTAACCTAATTAATTATCGCGTCACTGCGGCTAGAGTTAAGAAGGACCTACTGAATATTAAACTTAATTCTTTTAGAGATTTCTGGTCCTTTATCGACCCAAAAGCTAATCCCGCCGTTGTCTAGCGCACTTTAAAATCGTTTAAAGGCAGAAAACTTCCCCAACTATTGGCGGATCACGAAACTGGCATCTCCTCAGCCCGCACTGCCTGTGATGAGGCCGTACCTCTGGTCTGGAATGCTCCTTCGATCCCTCCTCTCTCGGATAACTATGTAATTGATTTTTTTACGTCTGTTTTCCCTAGTGTAGATTTGGATTCTTTTTGGAACTCGGTCCATGTGTGTAGCAACGAAATTGTTAAACCCTTTAGATGGGATGAATTTTGCAGAGCTATTGATGGTGTCAACAATCGCTCAGTTCATGGCCCTGACTTTATTTCTAATCAAGTTTTAGTTAGATTGCCTAAGTCTATTAAAGTATATTTGTTTAAATTGTTTAATAAAATGTTTAACTTGGGTTCCTACCCTGTAGTTTGGTCAGAATATTTTATGGTGTTTATTCCTAAAGCAAACTCCAACGCTATGAGACCTATCTCTATTTCGAATAGCCTCCTGAAGATCTATGAAAGAATGATCTGTCTTAGGTTATCTTGGTGGTTGGAAAATAATCGGTTCTTCGCCGATATGCAATTTGGTTTTCGTAAGACTAGATCTACTATTGATAATCTTCTTTTGCTCTCCGCTGCCATTCAACAAGGTTTTTTTAGGAATGCGTTTACTGGTGTCATTTTCATTGACTTGCATAAAGCCTTTGACACTTTTTCCTCACACTATGTCGAACATTTTAAAATCCTGTTCTCTTCAATATTTATACCTCTTTTATTTTCCGCTCCCTTCCGGAAGATGTTCATTATCTCGCCTATGCGGATGACATTTGTCTGTATACCTCTAGTCAACTCATACCTGTTGTATATGACTTGATTAATAAAGCTTTAGCTATTTTCAGTGAAAATATTAATCAGCTTGGTCTTGAAATATCATGTCCTAAGTCTTCCTTTTGTTTGTTCTCTAAAGACAGACTTATCAAAGCTAATAATTTTATTTATAAGTGGCATTTAAAGATTAAGCTTAACGACGCTATTATCTCAAAGATCGAATCGGTTAAATTTCTTGATGTTATTTTTGATAGAAAATTAAAGAGAAAAATCACTGTTTAGAGCTTCGTAGGAAAATTCGCTCCAAGTTATCCGTCATTATGTCAATCAGCAGGTCATCAGCAGGTTTGAAGTGGGGTGCACACCCATTTAATTTACTAAATATTTACAAGGGCTGGATTCGTTCCGCCCTTGAATACGGATCTCAGGCTTT